GAAAAATGTTTAATTGTCATCTTCACAATAAATTTCACAAATTTATTACGACATTGCAAAGTTTTACTATCATATGGCATCCTAATTAGAATCTGTTATATATTATTTCAGAAGTGATTTATAATAAATTTAGTGAGATGTCATGTCATAATAAATTTTATTAGATTGATTGTCGAGATGACACATAAACATTATTTTCCAATTCCATTCAGAATTCAAAATCAAACTAAATAAAAATATATTTGATTTAACATTAAAATTTACTTAAATATTAACAAATACATATAAAAATATTAATTCCGTTTTTATATTGCAATTTCAGATTATTTTTTCATTACGTTTTATGAAAAAATGTTTATGTGTCATCTCCACAATCAATCTCACAAATTTTATTATGACATGAAATTTTTTTATATGACATGGCATTTCACTTAACTTATTCACAAACTTCCATAAAATTACTTTTCACTTCCATTCAAAATGTAAAATCAAATTAAATAAAATATATTTGATTTAACATTAACATTTACGTAAAAAGTAACAAAGATCTATTAAAAATATTTATTCCGTTTCTAAATTCCATTTTCATATAAAAATAAATAAATTAATTACATTTTCACATCTAATTAATATAAAGATCAATGTTTACAAAATAAAAGACCAGACATTGACCATACAATTTATAAAATAAAATTTAAATATATAAAAAGATTAAACATACTATAAGTGAATGTATTGTTTTAAATTTAGGGACAATTACAAAAATGCCATTTTTTGTGTGCACATTTGCAAGAATGCCACATAGAAGTGTCCATTTGCAAAAATGCCACTAATTATAGATTTATAAAGTCTTTATCTTAAAATTCTAAACTCTAAAAAATGTTTTGACCCCTAAAACCCCCTAAACCCTCATAACTAAACCCTAATAGAACATAATTAACCCAAACATAGATGATATAAAGGAAAAATAATTTTGAAAAAGTGGCATTTTTGTAAAGATTTCAAAAGTGTGGCATTTTTGTAAAGTGGCACTTGAAAAGTGGCACTTTTTGAAATTTCTCTTAAATTTAATACACTTATTTCATTATTGATTTTTCAAAAATATCACTTTCAAAAATAAATTTATAGTTGTTATTGTATAAATAGTGTACAAATATGTATTAGAAATACTAAAGAAAATTAAAATTATAACAAAATAACAAAGTAATAATCGTCTCGCTATATGTTTTGTTTCATATACTGTTATTCACAATTTTAAAAATCGAACAAAAGTTCTGAAGACCAAAAGTGAACCAAAAATATAAATTCGACACCATTCACAATTTTTAACTATGAAATAATATTTTTATAATTTATATAAGGGCTATTTATATAATTGTAGAAAAATATTAATACGCGTATAACGCGGAGAGTAATCTGATCTGGTTATTAAAACCAAATGATGAAGACGATGAATTCATTTTAAAAGACATGGGATAAAAAAAAACTGAACCAGACTAAGTTTCTTAGGTTTTAGTTTGGTTATTTCAACCGAACCGATTAGCTTAATATTAAAATTGATTTGGTTTTCATTTTTTTAAACTGAACTATATCAAAATTGAAACAAATTTCAGTTTTTTTTATTTCAAAAAATGTGAACCTAAGAACCAAACTAACCGAATTTCAATGAATTTATCTAAATTTACTCGATTTTAACCGCATTTAAAGAATAACTTTTCATCCCAAAGAGGGTTTGAACACGGGGCACAAAAGAATCAACCCCTTTGTGTTACAACTAGACCATCACTCTTTTGGTATGTTAACAGAGTTAAGTTTAGATGATCGCTTAGATGATCAATTTTAATTTACTTTGTCGAGAGATGGTTTGAAGATTAGCTCGATGTTATTGATACACTTATTTTGGCTTTGTTACTCTGATGAGAGCTCTTAAAGGTGTACTTTTGGTAAAAACTTTAGCAGATTTTTCCACTAGATGAAGGTTTCCATACCCTATATAAAAGTTTTTATCATATCCATCGTAGATATCAATCATACCCAAAAGGTAAATCATTATAAAGATTATAGTGCCTTGAGTATATATACACCAATTCCAACATTGGAAGCAGCTGTTATTAGAAGCAATGCATCCCTATGAAAGAGGAACAAAAAAAACACTCACACTATTCAACCACCGGTCTAGAACACCTAACACATATCACAACATCTATTGGTTATGTCTCTTCCAATTCTCATATATTTTCAAAGATAAGATGTATAGCTAGAAAAAGAGATATAGAATGAAAATATATTAATACTTTTGTTATCAATTTATCATGGCATTGATTTTTATGATGATGTTAAAAAACTGGAAAAAAATAAAGGATACTGTAAAACATTTACAAATTTAAAGGCTAGGGAAAAAATAATTTAAGCGTTACAAAATCAAAAGTTTAAGTTTAATTTATTCATTAACATAAAAATC